TTCTATCAATGGAGCTGCTAAACCGGGAGTCAAGTCGTGCTAGTGTGTATCTTTAGTTCTTGGCGAAACGTTCACCCGTCGTAGCGAGAAAAGTTATTTTCTTAGCTGAACTATCACATGAGAGGGTTACATTAAAGTCGTATATCCAGGAAATTTCTCACTTTCACTGGAATTTTCAAACGAAACTTTTGACTTTAACTTGTTCTAACAAGAAATGTTCTTACTTTAGCTTTCTCTATCCCATGAAACCGTTATTGTAATTTGCGCTGTTAAAGAAAGTTCTTACTTGAACTGACTCTACTCTATAAATAATAGTTACTTATTCTAACAAAAGAATGTATTACTTTAGGCAAGAAGGGAGGGATTTGGTATAATAAATTAGAGAAAAACTATTACCGATACTGATTCGCATCAAAAACTAAGGCCTACTGGGCAAATGAGTGTAATTACTGGATAAACCGGCATGAAGACCCTAGTCAAATCTTTAGGTGTACTAGACGTATGACGTAAGCGCAATATTTTTTAATGCAGTCTTACCTCAGAAAAACAAATACATAAAAAAAAATTAGGTCGTACGATAACAAGTCGCCAGAGAACCAAATCTAAATTACATACACAGACCACAAAGCAAACTGTTTTCCCATTGAATAAGAAGACACTGTGATGGTATACCATACAAGGCACACACAGAAGTAGCTGAAAGCTAAACATAGAAATAGCTAAGCATGAAAATAGCTAATATCTAAACATGGAAATGGCTAAGAGTTAAGCAACTGAATAGCTGAAAGCTAAACGCAGAAAAAGCTAATAGCTCAGCAATTAAACAGCTAATAGCTAAATACAAAAATAGCTAATAGTTCAGTATTTAAATAGCTAATAGCTAAACACAGAAATCGCTAGTAGCTAAACACAGAAATAGCTAATAGTTAACACAGAAGCTGCTATTAGCTAAACATAGTAATAGCTGAAAGCTAAGCATGGAAATGGCTAAGAGCTAAGCAACTGAATAGCTAAAAGCTGAACGCAGAAAAAGCTAATAGCTCAGCAATTAAATAGCTAATAGCTAAATACATAAATAGCTAATAGTTCAGTATTTAAATAGCTAATAGCTAAACACAGAAATCGCTAGTAGCTAAACACAAATATCTAATAGTTAACACAGAAGCTGCTAATAGCTAAACATAGTAATAGCTGATAGCTAAGCATGGAAACAGCTAAACACAAAAATAGATAATAGCTAAACACAGAAATAATTAGCAGCTAACCACAAAAATCCTTCCTTAATAAAAATCCAAAGCACACTTTGCTAGTTCCTATTATAAAATAATCATAAACGTCTCGAAAGTTTCTTTTAACCCTTAGAAAACTAAATATTCTTAACAAACGTTTTCCTTAAATCAATCATTCATCTAAGCTATAATTACATTTCTCACATTCTAATTCTAGTTTCGCGTAGCGTCTATATTTCCATTCATGCTTATGTTTAGTCTTTCTATTCCGAATGTAGTCTCAGGATGGTTCGTCCAGACATCATAAATCAATATTGTAGTCAGGAAGAGGAGATTAGGATATAGTCGTAGTGCAAGGCTACCAACCAAGACGAAATTAAAGAGATCGAACAAACATTAGAATGTAATACCATCTTTCACAGGCGCCATTAGTGGAGATATTTGTTTTACTTGTTTTCCTTGTTGGCTTTGTTTGACTTGTAAAAGTGTCTTTCAGCCAACACTTGCAGAGTTGATAACAGCTTTCTGGTGTCAATGGTAATTCATCTCCTGTAAGATGCAAACAAATAACATTTGTTTGTGAGCATTTGTATACTGCATATATTCTATCAAGCAGTAGCAAATTAACGTCGACATTGTTTGGCCCATGAATGGTATTAGTTTTAAGAGGAAATGTTACATTCAGCAGTCTACCATTAACTTTTAGAACGCTAAGATGTTTATAATGCTGCCACTAAAGTACTGGTCAAAAAAAAAAAAAAAAAAATGCATAGTTACTAAAAGGAACACCCCCCCCCCCCCCCCAAAAAAAAAAAAACATTTACAATTTTGACATTATGTATTTTTGTAATGCAGTAAGTGACATTTCTCAAATTTCACACTAGAATACCTTAGGGTTTCATCAATCAATTGACATCTTTTTTGGCATCTGGATCACCATTAGTTTTTAAGCGTAGGCCTTTTCCGTTAGTATGGTGTGTGGCCTTATCGCTGACTGGCATCTCCTGGGCATGGATGAGATCAGATGTCTGATGTGGTCCTGTGGGATGGCTGCCCACTCTTCCTGCAGTGCCTGGAACAGATCACGACTATTGGCTGGAGCAAGGTTTCGGCAACAAACACGTCTTTGCAGCTCGTCCCACAGGTGCTCAATCGGACTAAGGCTGCAGACAGGGATGGCCAGGAAAGGGTTTGAATGTTATTGACAGTCAGGAACTGCGTGTTCAGCTGTGTAAAATGGGCTCTGACGTTGTCATATTGAAAAAAGATATCTGTTGGCATCCCAAAATTTTATTTATTTTTGGTCGAAGAATTTCATTGACGTACCGTTGCTCATTCAAGCTTCCTTCAATGCGCACCAATTGACTCCTTGCGTTGTAACTGATTATTCACATACCATTACACCCCTACCACCGTGCAGCAGAGCTTCATCAACACAGTTTTGGGCTAAACCTTCATTTCGTCTACGGAAGACCCTTCGCCGTCTATCATGACGCTGCACACACACACACACACACACACACACACACACACACACAAATATTCGTAACTGAACCAGACAAGTCTCCACTGATTGTCACTTGCCCAGGGACGATGTTGGTTGTCCCAAAGAAGTCGATTTTAGAGGTGGCGACGCTTAAGGACAGGCCCTCCGTGTGGTCGTCGAGCCAAAAGTCCAACATCATGTAGTCTGTTCTAAACAGTTTGATCAGAAACATGACGTCCTGGAGGCATGCTTGTGCAGTTGAGGAAGCTGTTGTAAACCTGTCTCTAAGCTTACGAAGCCAAATGAAGCGATTCTCCGCTGCTGTTGTTACTCTGAGTCGTCCAATGCGATGTCGGTTTTCAACTAACCGGTGGCTTTGAACCGGTGCCAAAGTCGACTTATGATACTCTGATACATGTTTAGATGCCTGGCAACCTGACCTTGACTTTCTCCTTCCTGCAATAGGCCCAGCAATATGCCTTAGATTTATCAATAGAGGCGCCATTCGTGACTGCTTGAAAATGAACTGATCGTTTTGGTGTAGCGTTATCCTTTTACAGGTTTTCAATTGCGTAGGCAGTGAATAGTGTTCACCGCAAATTGTGTTGCTTTCGCGTGCGCGCATCATGAGTTATGCTCACAAATATGGTCTTAAACACAAATGACCACTGCGTTGTAACGATCACAAAAACCCACGCAATTCACGCCCATGTGTCCACTGGATACGGTAAAATACATTTGAGTTTGCTTTTCACATACCCGAGTACCGTATTCTATTTACAAACTAATAAAAACGCGCCATAGTATAACTATGCATTTTTTTTTAAGAAAGCCGACCGTCCAGTGGCAATATCAAACTACTGGACGTAAATTTGCCTAGAAAAACCACACAACGGCCAGGGGCTGTTGGGGCTGGTTTTGCATCGTCTTGTAAAGGATACGCAACTAACCTTGAACGCAAAGTTTTGTGGCGTGTGGAGTTTTGTGGCGTTTGATGTGTGACGTTTTGTGGAGTGTGGCGTTTGTAAATATATTTATTACTGCATGGTACATGTAGAAATAGGAAAAGGATACACACATTCATAAGAATAGACGCGATGTACGAAGTTAATTGTATTCCACCAACAGAACAAGGAAGACAATACTTTGCAAGTAGGACTTTGAACTTTCACTAAAAGGCTGCAATAAAAAAGTTAACAATGAAAGGCTGCCCCTTAACTCTTGTCTATTCTTTTGAATGTGTTTATCCTTCTCCTATCTCTACATGTAACATAACATTGTAAATATATTTAAACAATACGCACTATGCCTTTATAATTTAAGAGTGGCCCACCCTGCGAACAGTCAAGACGGTACCGGCGTATACGCTACAGGCGACAAGAAAAAAAGGAGGCCCTCACATACCAGACAATATTCCAGTAGTCAGGTATAGGGAAAACCCCGAGACAATGTACGTCTTAAAAAAAAGGGAGAGCCCCGTCCTTGAGTACCCCAAGTGGAAAATAACATACGCGTGAAACTAAATTTAAAAAAAAACAGATCTGACTCCTCGTGAACTTTTTTAACACTATTACATTTTTTAAAAATTCAGCTTTGTAAAAGTACTAAGATTTAATAGATATCTAAAACCAAAATCATAATCAAAGTTAACAGAATGGAAGGCCGCCATCTTAGGGACCTAGTAGGAGTGACGCCGCAAGCACCATCTAGGGGACAATTAGTCACAACCATACCCCTTTAACAGCCACTTAATAAGAGTAGCATGAAAAGAGAAACCAAACGGAGATAACATTTTTTCTAAACATTCAAGTCCTGCTCGGTCCCTAACATTTATTACAAGAAAACTAACATATACTTCATGATAGAGCGGCTAATATTAATGCGAGTATACGGACAGTTATACATCAGACAGTAGGTTCACATAGATGGATTTAACATTTCCCGTATGTTTGTAGACGGTATCGGCGCCAGCCGTTTCATACACCAAAGAGGATGAATGATTTATATGTTCTGCCCAGGTCATTGAGCATCCGGATCATTAGGGAACAGGGGGATGAGAACACTGCACTTTATCAAGCACGTCGCAGAAGAAAAAAAAAACGAATAAACCGGCTCATGTTTGTTATATACTCTATTTGTTAAAAAACGTTTAACGGACACCAGCTAGAACAGACTGTTGGGTGAACATTCATAATCAATCTGGAGATACGGGGGGAGTCGCCGGTGAGCGGTGAAGAATAGGAGTAGTCAAGGAAAAAAAAATTAAAAGACAAGAAGAAGAACAA